AGTGTCATAAGTTCATTAAGAATGTCGAGGGCCAGCCTGGGGTTTGGCTCAGTGGTTCTGCTGCCTGCCTTGCAAGCACAAGGGCCCAAGTTCAATCCCTGGTACCAAAAACAATAACAACAATAAAGAGTGACGATTTAGGGCAGGGGATTTAGCTCAGTGGTAGAGGGCTTGCCTACATATGGGAGGTGATAGATTCATTATGGAACTGAAAAAAAGAAAAACTTGATTATCTTGTGTGCTAGGTGGTGAACGAGACAGTTCCTATTATTCATGGACTTTGCTTTTTCCATATGGTGCTGGGTCTCAGATCTGGAACATGCTATGTGGGTGCTCTGCCAGTGGGCTGTACACCACCCCACACCCCACGCCCTAGGTCCTCTTATTATTCCCCACTTCACAGTTGAGGGAAACTGCACGGAAAGTTGTTACTTTTCCATGTCACACAGCTGATAAATTGAAGAGCTGGAGTTTGAAACTGAGTTTTTTTTTGTTTTGTTTTGTTTTTTTATTCCAGGGCCAAAGCTTTTAAACAATACAACACAGTCATAATTAAGAGTAGCTCATTGGAAGTGAGGTATGTGCCTTTCTACACAAGAATATTATCTTGTTTACCAGCCAGAACAGTTACCAAATACATAAAACCTCAGTTTAATCTTCATTTCTAATAGACAGATCTTTTAAGTTCCATTTATGATATAATCAGTGAAAGTGTAAGAATGTATCCGCTGAAAGTTAGCTCCTGCAGTAGGGTAAACAAGCTTGTTTTATCTAACAATCTGATAGCCACTGATGAGAATATGACTCCCTGTGATTATAGAAATATGTGGGTTATTTAAAAGAATCATTTTATTAACTTGATGATTTTCTCTGTTGCTGATGTTTCTGGACTTTAACCAGAAAACATTACTGGGTAATACCCAAGCTGGGTATGATCTTTTATTTATTTATCTATTTAGGGATCAAACTCTGGACCTTGAGCTTGTGAGGCAGGTGGCGGTGCTACTGAGCTAAATCTCCAACCCTGGGTACAATCTTTTAAAAGACAAAAGAGATAAACAGTGACAAAGTGGGAGGTTTTGGTTGTGAAGATGAGAAGTAGCATTAGGTTAACTTTATAAACCCACCTATTTGTTAGAATTTGATGACTTTTCTTTGCTGAGATGCAAATAAATAACCTATGAAAAAAGCAGCCCCAAAGGCCCCAGAATGCCTGTGTCCAACAAGGTTCTTATTAATCATTTTTAGTCTGTATTAAAGACAACAGTGGCATTTACACTAAAACACATCCAGCTCTGTACACCAGAGTTCACTGTTTACAGGTGTCAACTTTTTCCTTGTAAACAGAATGGCTTAATGCCATTCTTCAAAATATACTTTCATCTGTGTATCAGGAACCATTTACTTGGGTTTTTTGTTTGTTTGCTTGTTTGTTTGGTTTTTTGTACTAGGGATAGAACTTGGGACCTTGTGCTTGCGAGGCAGGTGGCAACACCCCTAAGCTAAATCCCTGGCCCTCAGGAGACATTTATTTATTTTTGTTTGTTTGTTTTTTGAGACAGGGTCTCACTATGTAGTTGATACTGACCTGGAACTCACTATGTAGCCCAGGCTGGTCTCGAACTCACAGCGATCCTCCTGCCTCAGCCTCCCTAGTGCTGGGATTACAGGTGTGCACCACCACACCCAGCCTTCAGGAGCCATTTATAAAGATGTAAAGAGATTGGTATGTAGGATTTAGCATGTAAGGCAAGAATGTAAGGCAAGCCAGTGTTTATCCAGATTTGATACCATTTTATGCCCATTCAGGTTTGTGGAGGCAGGGATATGAACTCTTCAGTAGCATGGGTCTCCTTGCCAAATTGGGGTTGCCTCAGGAAAATATACCAAGGCTTCATCAAATTACTTTGCCTAGTACCCAGTTGGGCAAATGTGTGGTTATCCTGTATAGAAAATCATTTTTTCTTCAGCAAAAATTTCTGTTTAGGGCTAGGAATTTAGCTCAGTAGTACCGCTCCTGCCTCGCAAGCGCAAGGACCTGAGTTCGATACCTGGTACCAAAAAAAAAGTTTTTTTTATTGCTAAATCTTTATCTAGTGTGCCCTTCTACCCCATTCAAACATAAGTATAGTCCTTATCTCCTTTTCTCATATCCTTGGTTTTTTGGGGGGAGGGGTACTGGGGATCAAACTCCGGACCTTGCACTTGTGAGGCAGGCGGCGGAACCACTGAGCTAAATCCCTGGCCCTCTCGTATCCTTATAATCCAGGCTATCAGAAAATTCTATTAGATCATACCTTCAGAATGTATACTGAATCCCAGTTACTACTCTCCGTGTCTACATCTACAATGCTAGTTCAAAAGTTTATTATCTTATCTTTCTTTCTTTCTTTATTTTTTTGTATTGAGGGCTCAATTTAGGACTTTGCACTTGTAAGTGCGCTTGCAAGGCGTGGTGCCACTGAGCTAAATCCCCGGCCCCATTATCTCTTCTTCTTCTTTTTTTTTTTTTTTTTTTTTTTTTTTTTTTTTTTTTTGGTACCGGGGATCGAACTCTGGTCCTTGTCCTTGCGAGGAACCACTGAGCTAAATCCCCAGCCCCTTATTATCTCTTCTTAATGGACTGTTGAAGTAGTCAAGAATTGGCCTACTTGTTTTGCTCTCATGCTTTACTCTCTCCGCTTAGCTTCTCGACCTCTACACTTCTCTTTCTGACAGAGTAGCCTGAGCTGCTTCCACGCTAGTTCAAGACTCTAAAACGAAGCTGCACAGGCTTGGAAGTTCCAGAATATGATTGTCTCCATATTCTGCTAATGATTCAAAGACAGGACATAAATTCAACCACCACCAGCTCCCCCTGCCTTTGGCCCTACTGGGGATTGAACTAAGGGCCTTACACATGCTAGGCTGGTACTATACCACTGAGCTACATCCTCAGCCCTCAAGTTGCACTCCTGGTGGGAGGAACAAGCATTCACCTATGTAGAAAGATGGCTCGTGTTTGGAGATTAGCTGCTGCCACCTAAGTGACTGGAATGATACGATTCAGACTACTTCTGTAGTCTTATTTCTCCTTGCTTACTCGGGTCCACATTGCTGGTGCATGCCAGGCAGACTACCTCCCAGGACCTTCTCTGCCAGTATATCCATTGCATAGACCATTCTCTCCCCATCTAAGAAAAAATCTATTTCTATCATTTCTTTTGTGTCTCTGTTCAAATGTCTCTCTTTAGGAAAACTATGTCTAACCAGACAGACTTAAATATATTATTTTTTATTTGCTGCATGACAAATGATCACAAACGTAACAAGTTGAATCACCACTTATTTTTAACAGAACAGTTGTACAGTTGGGAAGCGTTCTGTGTGGCCATGTTCTTTGCGCAGACCAACACAAGACTGTAGTCTGTGAAGGTGCAGGCTAAGCTGACATTTCTTTTTGGTATTTGGGAATACCGGGGAGCAAACTCGGGACCTTGTACTTGTGAGGCAGGCAGCAGAACTACTGAGCTAAATCCCTGGCCCTGAGCTGAGTTCTTATCTGGGAACTGTGGAGGTAAATCCGCTTCTCAGCTCATTCTTATTGGTTGATTTGAAGACTGAAGTCCCTGTTTCCTCACTGTCAGTCAGACTCAGAAGTTGACCACACTTTCAAGGCTTCTTTTGGTTAGGTCAGACCCACCTGAGTAATTTCCTGTCTTAAAATTGGTGTATCTGCATCATCCGTTTAATCACAACAGTACCTATGTCAGTGTGAGGGGAAGGTGTGTGTCCTGTTTAATAGGAGCCAAGGTCTTGGGATGTCTTCTTAGAATTTTGCCTGTCATAATAACATGTACCTTTTTTTTCTCCCCAGTTTTTTTGTGACAGGATAGCATCTCGCTGTGTAGTCCAGGCTGGCCTTGAACTTGTGGTGGTCCTTCTGTCTCACCCTTCTGATTGCTGGGATCATAGGTGTGCCCAGCATAACATACTTTTTTTTTTTTTGTCCCTTTATCCTGCTTTTATTTTTCTTCACAACACAATCTATGTTATATTTTCTATTTGTTTTCTTGAGTTTTTTGTTTCGTTTTTCCAGTGTGAGGAATCAAATTCAGGACCTTGCACTTGCCAGGCAGGTGTGCTGCCACTGAGTACATCCCTGGCCTGTTTACTTGTTTTTAATGTGCTGCTTCCTAAATTAAATGCTCATGATGTTACAGACTGTGTCAGTTTTGTTCTTTATAGTATTCTTACCACTGAGAATAGTATTTGGCACATAGCTCAAATACTTATTGAATGAATCAATTAATTAAAAAGGTTTATGGCATCTAATTTTGATGACTGTGGAGATGGGATTTTGGAAGGAAAGGGTAGATTGAGCATGAAGGCTATTGAAGCTTTATTTCCAGAGGTGCCACAGTCTCATGACAGTGTTTCTTTCCACAGACTGCTACTTTATTTGACTCTTAAAAAATAAGTTGTGAAGGCTGGGCATGGTGGCTCACACATGTAATCCCAGCACTCAGGAGGCTGAGGCAGGAGGATCGCTATGAGTTTGAGACCAGCCTGGACTACATAGTGAGTTCCAGGTCAGTCTCAACTACATAGTGAGACCCTGTCTCAAAAAAACAAAACAAAAAAGTTGTGAGCAAGTAATTGTCTGAATGCCCAGTAACTACTGTAGATGGCACTTTTGGCTTGCTGGAAATACTGTGCTTTCCATTTGGGGTTTTCATTTTTATATCTCTAAATAATACTCTGTGGATTTTTAGAAGTAAGTGCTTGGTCTTGTAGTGTACCTGATTTTACCTTCTCACCCTGATTTCTGTGGCTTTCATGAAATAATTGTGGTTCACAAATGTCTAAGTACTACCTAAATAACAGAGTGGGCTCAATCATAAAGACATAGTATAGCATGCCAGGACCGAGGGGGGAAATATATATATAAAATACATATAAATGTTTGTTCATTTTTAATACTTAATGTTATGTTTCTTTTTATCACTCCCCTTCTACAGACAAAACTTGCCAATGGCACCTCCAGTATGATTGTGTCCAAGCAACGGAAACTCTCAGCAAGCTATGAGAAGGAAAAAGAACTGTGTGTCAAGTATTTTGAGCAGTGGTCAGAGTCTGACCAAGTGGAGTTCGTGGAACACCTTATATCCCAAATGTGTCATTACCAGCACGGGCACATAAACTCATATCTGAAGCCTATGCTGCAGAGGGATTTCATCACTGCTCTGCCAGGTATGTGCACGTGCAGTGCAGGCCGTTGAGCGTTGAGTGTCAGCCTGTTTCTTCTCTTTAGGTATTCATTGCCTTGATATTTATAAATTAAGTCCTTCATTTGTACCTTCCTCATTAAAATACAAAATAAATCAAACTTAAAGATTTTTTTTTTCTCAGTCTTCGTATCTCATGACCTTCTGTTTACTCCACTTTTTGTTTTTTGTTTTTTCTAATTCAGTTCTGGGAATTGAACCCAGGGAGCCTTTTTAAGACGAGATTTGCTGAGCTGCCCAGGGCGCCCTCAAGCTTGCCATCTACTTACAAGTGTGCACCACTGTGCCTGGCCGTTGTCCAGCTTTTGACTTGTTATATGTCCAAATAAAATCTTTTCTGAAGTGTTATCTCATTGGAGGTGATCTTTTTTTTCTTTTTTTTCTTTTCAGCTTTAATTGAGTTTATTGGTACATTTTAGGGATACAGTACAGTTACATTCATTGTTGGGATCTTGTACCTCTACATGACAAGTCTTGATTGGAGGTGATCTTTTATAATGTGTTTTGGTTTTAAGATGTGTTAATTTAGAGCTGAGGATGTAACTGTAGTATGGTGTTTTGTGAGGATGTGGGTTTGCTCCATTTCAGAAAAAGAAAAAGAAAAGGTACATTAATTTATATGCTTGGATTTGGCTTTCCCGACCCAAATTTTTGGAATATTTAAATTGTAGCGATAACTAAGAAACATTTTTGAGTATTTTAGAAAGACAGCCTTGTTAAATATGTTTATATATATATTTATATTTAAAATATAATACTTAAGGGCTGGGGATTTAGCTCAGTGGTTCCGCCTCCTGCCTTGCAAGTGCAAGGTCCTGAGTTCAATCCCCAGTAC